AAAAATATACACTCAGCCACACACACGACTTTAACAAGTACTCAGACGTGAACGTAGCACCACATTATAGCAATGACCCAAACCTTATCAGAGAACAGACGGTCCTATTATTCCCATCCGGAGATGCGTCGGGTGACACCGGCACCGTCGTAATCAATTACATTCATTATGTCATCTGTTCGACACTGACGCTATCTATTGCGTACTAATTGTGCAATAATTATTCTATTTTAGTAGTTTTGTCGTAAATGAAAATTTATAGACATTACAATTGACAATGTTTGTGAGATCGCTTTGATGTGAATTGTTTGGTTATAAAGTTTAGTAATCAATATTTATTACTATGGATACCGATTTATTAGAATAGTTTTAGCGTGAATTGTCGGTTGTCTTAGGTCTGAGGTAGAAGTAACGATAATTTAAATCAAGGAGTAGTTAGAAATACGTTTGAGATAAAATTGAAAGATACCAGTTCCTTTCGTAAACGAATGTCTTCTGCAGCAGTAGGTCGGATCACCCAGGGTGGTGGGTTGATTTAGTCTGTAGAATTGTCGACAGATGCCTCAAAGAGCCAATCCACCACCATAGATGGCGCCCAATATGGCTGATGTTCAGTCGGAGTCGCGGGTCAAGTGCAAAATGCACCGCGGCCTGGAGAAGAAGAAGGATCAGGTTTTTAGTCAGTTAGAGTCTGCCACTCAGTCTCGCCTTACACTGGACGAGAGAAATCATTTGGTGGTAAGTTTCAGTATGTTGAATCATCGGTACTTTATAAATAAACATATTTACTACAATATTAATTTTAAATATAAACTGTATGCCAAGGACACAGACCACGATTCTGCGAAGAGGTAAATGGAAATAATGACTAATGGAATGGTAGCTTACTAGCTGAGGTATATAATTTATGAAAGTGAAGACACTGGATGACCTCTGAAATGTATATATCGCTTCAGAATAGTCAGAATTAATAAGATGTTTCATACAAAATGAATTGACGGTTAGTAATCTTTGAGCTATTTATTTATTTATCTACCTAATGTGTAGTAGAATAATAAATCAGCTTTTATGTATAAATGACACCAATATTGTTATTGATGTTTTTATTTATTATCTAAAACTAAGCCAAGAAATTTGTTAAGCTGGTACGAAAATGAGGATTTAATCTGTATAACATTACAGTATACAGTCAATGTGTAACTATTATTAATCAAAATAATTGTATGTCCAAGTACCAAGTTGGGCAGAACGTTATTGAGGTTCATTAAGTTTTTTTAATTGTGCCTCTAATAGCACATATTGTAGCTAGCGAAAAGGGGGTGTACATTGTCTTTGTGGCATAACGTGCTCCTCTGCATACCCCTTGGAGGCTATCAGGCGTGACAATACTACACATACTACTTCATCTTTACTGAACGTCTATTACTCGTAGATGGTTTCACAATTGGGTAGTTTCCTAGGTCAAAAATAAATTAATTCGACGTTTCAATACAATAACATATTGAAAAATAACTATACTTTTACTCATCGATCGATCTATACACTAAGTTTTAGATATTATTTAGCTAATAATTACGAAATAAGTAAGCTATTTGACGCAAAAATACTATGACGTCTCAGTTTTTCATACAAATTGCGTTGAAAAGCATCGTTTTTGACATTTGGATAAAAGTATTGAATTTGACTAGTTGGATACTATCGTATTGCGTAGTTCCTAAAATTAAACACAAATAACACGATACGTGTTTTTGTTTTTCGGGTCGGCAAACGAGCAGACATATAACCTGATTGTGAACGGCGCCGCCCATGTACACCTGCAACAGTAAAGGAGTTACGAGTGCGTTGCCGGTTTTTTAGAGATTTAGGAATTAGGAAGGGATGAGTGTAGGGGAAGGCCTCCAGTATCCTCAATTATAAGACGAAAAACAACGCTGTGATTGTTTCACGCCAATTTCCTGTAAGGCCATGGTATCATTCCGCTCGAGCCCTTCCATTCGTACACAAGCATGGCTCTTCCACACTTGTATTGATAGATGTATCTATTTGCTACAATTGCATGTGCAGCCATGTCCAAACATTAATGTGCTTAATTAAATCGCTGTTGTTAATTGAATTAACATAAACCGATCAACAGAGCAAATACCAATCTAATGGGAGATAATTATTTAATGATCCATGAATCTTATTGAGCCATTGTAATGTTACGATAGCTGTTTATTTTAATGGTACTTACATCAAGAACTTACTTATACATCATCATCATCAGCTTATAAGTGCCCACTGCTGAGCAAAGGCCTTTTCTCACACGGAGAAGGTTAAAGCATTAATCACCACGCTTGCTCAAGGCGGATTGGCGATTTCAAACTTATAATTAGAAATTATAAGTCTAGGTTTCCTTACGATGTTTATATTCACTGTGTGTCAGTGTCACATTGGTACTTTCCAGGTTTCGAACCCATGCACATGAGGACAACCTCATGCATAAGAAGCGGGCTCTTTAACCTCCGGGCCACCACCTCATGTACTTATATCTAAGTACTAACTTCTTTCTATGGTTCATTTAAGAAAGCTTAGCGACTAGCGACTTCCTGCAATTTTTTGGTATACAAACTATCCTATGTACTTTCTCGAGTTCCAACCTATGTCTGCACCAAATTTTACAAAAATCGGTTCAGTAGTTTAGGCGTGAAGAAAAGACAGACAGACAGACGAACAGGCAGACTCACTTTTGCATTTATAATTTAAGTTTGGAGAAATAGGAACCCTTTCGGAGCAGTAGCGATAAGCTAACAAACAAATAACTGACACCAAGGTTAGACATCCTTGCGGAGCTGACCACTAGCCATTTATAACCACAAAAACATCGATAAAACCAAGCTTGATAAAAAACCAAAACAAACAAACCTACAAACTGTATAAAAAAGCTATACACTCTAAATAAAATCTAATAAACGGCCGGAACAAGTTGTTTATGTAACAAAATATAACATAAATTCAAAGTAGAAAGATAAAAAATTCGTATCCCAATACTGATTTATATGTAGTTGGAGAAAAAATATAATCTGCTCCGTTTCATCGAGTTTCCTTGTTGAGAAAAATCGTGCTATTACCGTAGGGGAAGCTTTGAACCGCTCATATTTCAAAACAACACCATTTATGTACCGCTTTTGTTTAACCCGACATTTCGAACGGAAATTGCCCTTCTTTTTTTAGTTCTTAGTTTGTTGTCTTGCTATCTTGTTTAGTGCTATCAATAATGGATACATGACTTTCCCATTAGGGTTTCGTAGTAAATTAATTTCGTTATGTTGTTAGTTGTAACTTATAGTAGAGGTAGGGCACGCGTTTTGAGTATAATATTATAAAAAAAAAGTTGAGCTTCAACCAACATTATCTACCTACCCTGGCCAATTCAAAGTTGCACCATGATCAAGATCATACAAATAAGTGTGGGAGAGCCATGCTTCGGCACGAATGGGTCGGCTCGACCGGAATGATACCACGGCCTCACAGAAAACCGGCGTGAAACAACCACAGCGTTGTGTTTCGCCGTGTGAGTGAGGTTACCGGAGGCCCAATCCTTCCCCTCCCCCAATCCCTCCTCAATCCCTTAATCTCCAAATCCCTAATCCCTAAAAGGTCGGCAACGCACTCGTAACTCCTCCGTTGCGGCTGTCCATGGGCGGCGCTGATTGCTTACCATCAGGTAATCCGTCTGCTCGTTTGCCAAACAATTACATAAAAAAAAAATACAGAAACTCTAGTAATTTTGCTGTCCGATATTAAACAAACAAACAAAATATTTATTTCATAATAATGTAAATACCAAAAAGGACTCAAATAAAGCTTGAGATAAAAAAGTTATTAATAATAATAAAAAATAATAAAAATTGTTTATTAGAAAAAACCAAAAATTGTACAAACATAGTATTTAAGTTTGAAGCCTCCTTTTAAGCATAGGATGCCTGTATTAGGAGACTCCGCTCTTTCTAAAGCGAATTATAGTATCTAGTACATTAAACTATAGTAATCTTAATTAATTAAAAACAAAGAAAAGAGTGAGTGAGCGTGTGTGTGTTTGTGTGTGTGTGTGTGAGTGTGTGTGTGTGTGTGTGTGAGTGTGTGTGTGTGTGTGTGTGTGTGTGTGTGTGTGTGTGTGTGTGTGTGTTTGTGTGTGTGTGTGTGTGTGTATGTGTGTGTTTGTGTGTGTGTGTGTGTCGTTAAAGTCAATGTTTCTGTTGTAGAAGTGTTTCGGTCTCGCTATAGGTAAGGGTTTTTATCCATTCTGTTATTGTTTTTTTGCATTCATAATAATTCTTAGGGTAAATATATATGTATTTATTAATGGTATTGTAAAGCTGGGCCGATCGTTTCCGGTATTGAATACTGGCAAATAAAGTTCTACTTTGTGGTATGTCTAATATAATATCTTTTCTTCTTCTTAACAATATTCTAGAATCAAATTTCAGTGATTTGTGTCTAGAGAGAACAGCTTGAGTTATATATAGCTTCCGGACTGTTAGAAGGTCACTAATTTGATATAATTCTTCAGTACAAAATCTTCTTTTTTTAAAATACATGCACTTGATAAGAGCTCGTTGTGCTCTCTCTAGCTCTAAGAACTTTGTTTTGGTAGCACCACCCCATACTACTATGCAATATGACAATACTGATTGTGCCAATATCAAGTATAATGAATTTAGGAGGTTTTTGGTTTTACCTAACGGAGTAAACATCTTTTTAGGTATTATATGCCTCAGAGTCCGGAAAACCCAACTTAATTTTCTTATTCTATTTGAAACTTGCTCAATATGCTGGTGCCAAGACAATCTTTGGTCAATTATAATACCCAAATATTTGGTGTGAGATACTTTGTCTATTGCTGGGCAGCTACACTGTGTGTGATCTCCAGCGCCACATAATATGTGAACCTTTAGAGCAAAGTCAGTGCTAGGCTGTGTACGATTGCAAACACTGAAACATATGTAGTTTGTTTTTGATATGTTCAGTGTGAGCAAATTCTGTCCCAGCCATCTAGAAATCATAGACAACCCCAACTCTGCGCTAAGCTGAACGTCTCTCCAAGAAACACCCGTAAACACTACTGCAGTGTCATCAGCATACGAGAAAATATTTGCGTTTCGAATTCGCATGTTGCAGAGTTCGTTCACATAAACAAGGAACAAAGTGGGCCCCAACACGCTTCCTTGGGGCACTCCGTACGATACCGCAGCATCCTCACTTATATGCTGACCCACTCTCACTCTCTGCTTCCGGTTGCTGAGGTAATCTTTTAGAATATTTAATGGTATCCCCCGAACTCCTATAGCTTCCAACTTAGTAACTAGTAGTGGGACGGAGACGGTGTCAAAGGCTTTTTTTAAGTCTAGGAATGCCGTTACACATTTCTTGCCACTATCAAGTTGATCGGTAATTAGCGTACTGAGCGCCGTAACAGCATTCTCAGTAGATATGCCCTGCCTAAAACCAAATTGGGACTCCGATAAGATGTTAAAATCTTTGAAATACTTAAGTAATCTAGTATTAATTAGTTTTTCAATAATTTTTGAAATTGCAGGCAGGACTGAAATAGGTCTATAATTTCCGACATCGCCTCCGTCTCCAGACTTATATATTGGTGTAATAATAGCTTTTTTCAACGATGATGGAAAAATTCCTTGACTAAAACAAAGGTTGGCCAGATGAGTAATAACGGGGACAACATCGTTGCGTATGTATTTTAAAAAGCTTGTTGGAATGTTGTCATATCCAGGTGCACTATTGGTCCGAAGACCCATTAGGATAGTGTTTACTTCATTTATATTGGTGTCAAGTAATACAAAAGAGTTCGAGAGACTCACCGAAGAGAAATGAGGATCTTCGGAATTGTGACTTGAGCGCAGTGGGATATTCAGTGCAAGGTTTTTGCCAATGTTAGAAAAATAATCATTAACGTGATTGAGGGATTCTAAAGGGGAAGATTTAATATTTAATAATTGTGTGTTGTTGCCTTTAAGTTGATTGGAATAAGTAATACTTTTTATGTTCTTCCATAATAATTTGTTATTAGTAGTTGACTTGGTTATTAATTCACTTTCATATTTTCGTTTTATTTTTTTTATTAGGTTATTACAATAATTTCTGTATCTTATAAATGTTATTTTTAGAATTTCATTGTGTGGTTCTTTTTTATAATTTTTTTGCAATTTGTTGCGATTCCTTATACATCTTAAAATGCCAGGGGTAATCCATGGTTTGATTATGCGCTTAGTATTAGGAATTTTTAAATTAGTTGTATTAATATTAATCGATTTAGATAGTCTATATATAAGTAGGTCTGCCAGAGATTCCGGATCGTTACAAAAAAGCAAATCAGCTAAGTTATTTTCAAGTAAATACTCATGCGCTTTCTTGAAGTCAATCGAGGACTTAGTTTTGTTCACAGTTGGGGAGTTTTTTATTTTTGAGAGGGAAAGAAGGGTGGTGAAGTGATCTGTAATGCTAGTATGAACAATGGCAATGAGAGCGGAAACCTTATGTTTATTTAACTTTATCATAAAATGGTCTAGGCAGTTCTCATTTCTAGTTGGTAGAGTATGACCAGGCAGTATACCATGCTGGGATAGTGTGTTAAGGTAATTTAATCTATTTTTTTGGTCATGAAACGACTCACTGTCTTTTAACTTAATGTTGATATTTATATCTCCGGCTAATAACATTTTTCATAGGGTTAATTGTATCAAGGTGAGTACTTAAAGAGTTTAAAAAGCTCTCTGAGTTCGGGTTAGCTGGAGATCGGTAGATGCATAATATAATGTTATTTAATATGTCAAGTTGCAGGCAAGACGCGTGAGCTAGTTTTATTTCCGAAATTTTTGATTTAAGATTATTTTTTATATAAACCACAACGCCGTCATTCTGGTTTTGGTGCTTTGTAGTAGCGTAAGAGGAATAATTATTTAAGTGTGGTATGGGTTGTTCAGAACTCAATCTGCATTCAGTTAAGATAATGACATCTGTTTCAAAATTAAAAGTCGATAGAGTAATTGCAAAGTTATCAAAGTTGCATGATATACTTCTTATATTTTGAGAAATAACTGTAAAGTCAGTTCTTTTTATGTTTGTCAGTCTGTTTAGGTCTATACAATCACATTCAAGACTGCGCGCTATTTGTATATCATCAATATCTTTTATGGTCTCTAATCGGCTATTCATAAATACATATGGAAAGATAGAAATTACGTAATATCAAGTAGAAATTTTTGTGGAAGTAAGTTTTAAATTTCATGTGTTTTATTTTAAGGATGTGTGGTGAAAGAGATTTAATGTGATTTATTAGAATGAATGAATGAGTAATCCATTTGTATGTGTGCGAGTAGTTGCTATGTGAATACAGTGAGAGGTAATTAAGTGTGTTATGTGTATGTGTGTGAGGATTGGTAAGGTGAACCATAGGAGAGTAAGTAGAAAATGTACTTATAAAGAAGGTAATTTTTACAATTATTATAATAGGATAACATAAGGTAACAAAACATCTCATCAAGCTAAACAGGTTAATCAGAAAGCTACGAAAGCTATATGAAATTGAAACTATAATTACATCTGTTTTCACGATATTGTCGATACATATTATATAATTACAATAAGTAACTAGTCACTTGCCTAATCTCAATTGATGAATCTGATGTTCGCTTGTGACAAGTATGGTCGCGGACTGTTCATCTTTTTTAAGTAAAACTTTTCCATATGAAGTCCAACAAAATTTAAACATTCCTGACTTGGTAAGGTCGCGCGCTAAGAAGTGAAGACGGGAACTCTTCGGAGTTAGATGGTCAGATAGAAATACGGGAATATCAGCATATGAATCGGATTTGAGACCTAGATGTTTACCAGATAGTTTGGAGTTGGTTTTTATAGCAAAGGCCTTACCCATTTTTATGATGTCTGTTTTGAGTAAGGTTGAGCCGGTCTCCACAATTATAGGCGTATTAAGCTTCTCGCTGTTTTTCCCACGCACTCTGTATACGTCTTTTATGTCATGCTTGGCAATGGGACAGTCAAGGTGTTTGGAAAGACACATAACCATTTCAATCAGGTCTTCCTTCGCTTCCCCCTGTTTCCTAGGCACATTCTTAATAACAAAATTAGTCTTCTGATTGCTGGTTTGGATGGATTCTATTTTCTCTTCAAGAATTTTTATATGAGATCTGTCTTCTCTAGCCTGATTCTCTAAGACCTCATGTTTATTTTTAAGTTCCTCATACTTGCCAGTGAGAAACTCAATTGAGCTCACCAATTTTTCATTACTTTGCTGGATTTCTTTCAGGGACGAATTAACGATCTGCTGAATCTCTTGTTTTTGTTTTTCAGCAAAGCCATTCAACATTTTTCTTACCTCCTCCTTGAACTCAGCGAACTCTTTTCCAATTGAACCCTCCATATCTTCTCTACTTCGTTTGATCCGTTGGAAAACAAAGGTGGGGGTTGTATTCAGATCTTCCTGATTAACGTCGGATTCCGAGTGTGATTTATTCATGGTAGATAGCGATTACTCTGCTTATATGGAAATAGCAAGCTATAAGCGTGATACTGATGTAAGCGTAGCAACTTTGCAGCCGTTAAACTGACCAAATCTACAAACTATATCAGACGTAGTACTTATATTGGCCGCAGTATTACTCACAGAACTACTACGCTTGACGGAAAAGAGACAGCAATTATCGTATCTGCACTCTTCACACAGGCACTTTGCGTTACGAACGCGGCCTGCGGAGCTAGACTGAGACAGCAATATATTAAGGATCACCTTGTCTTGTCTTCGTGTTCGGCTTGAAGGTCACGACGTCAGCGGCGCGGGAGCGGGACAACAATTATGACAACTGTCTTTGTCACTCGCGTCGTGCGGGCAGCAGGGGGTGCACCTCCGATAAGCAGTCGAATGCACGCAACACTCGCGTCTCACGCGCAGAGATTAGTACTATTACGGTATGATGTAGTCAAACGATGTTTGCGGAGTAAGGCACAACACGTCTACACTCGTTAATGGTTCGGACGAAAGAGGAAATTGAATGAAAATTTATTAAAAACAACGGGAATTTCAGATAACAATCAACAACGTAATAACATTAATGCAAGCATAACATTCAAAAGGATACTCAGTAGCTAATTACTGGCAAAGAAATAAGGTTAAAAATATTAAATTTTATAATTATCATCGAAGCTGCACTTCCAAAAGAAGTGGTCGTGGTTAGAGTACCATTTATTCGTTGGATAAGGGTCAGCTCGCAGCAGCAGCAACGAAAATCGAAACGATGTGACGGCGAAACAGAGCCTACACTTCAAAATAAAACTTAATTTGCTATTCGAAAAGACACACAATGTAAATCATTGACCTCTTCCAGTATCATTCCATAGCGTCGCGTCTCAGTGTGAATATATCCTTAATTTCGCTTCAACAAAATTTTCTGTTCCAAACGATACAGAGTTTAACAAAGTTTTGTACCCGACGTTGGACTGCTAATACTGAAAATGAAGCTCTCGTGGGAAATTCACCATTAGCGGTCACATTAAATTCTGTTTCATTCTTTATTTATGTCAAAATGCTTGTTCAGTAAATTTCATTGTTATGCTCAGTTTGTATGACATAAACGGGACGGTAAGTGACACTTTTAATCCATTAAAGAAATAAAACATGTTCTTTTTTTTAACATTTTCTTTCCAAAATTCTTATGCTTGTTTTTGGCGAAAATAATTGCTATACTTATTTCTTTTGCTAGCAAAAAGGTTGCTCTCTATATATTTGAGAAGTGATTAAAAATTCAATATTTATTTACGACTTACATAGTATGTAAGTACTTATTTAAATAACTTCGATTCCATAAGCTGACAATAAATTTTATTTTTAAATGACAACTCTGTATTTGTTACAAACACACTCATCCATACTTATCGATCATTCGTAAATGAAAAATATCCTTTTAACCGTTACTCTGATGCGGTTGACGTTGAGTTAATGCATCCGTATGGTGCATGCTTCGATTTCCAAAACCCGGTGGACTGTGACCGACTGTCTTCGGTCGTTGTGGCTGGCATGGTAATTATACCAATTAACTCTACTTGTTACCTCAACCGAAGCCTTCGAACCGCTTGATAAGGTACCTGTTCACCCGATTAGAACGATATTTTATTAATTGACACGGATACTTGGTAAATTAGTTGTTTTAATTGATTATTTTAATTGGCGGTCTATAGAAGTATAGTATAGATAGAAGGATAGAAATCATAACAAAAGCCATTTGTAAAATCGCAATTTTATTTTAAGGTTAATATATATAAAGTGGGTGATGACACCCACGTATTTAGGTATAGTTAATTAGGTAGTAGCCATCAATTATAGGAATGAACCTATAACCAAACAATGGTATGAAATGAGAGCAATAAATTATAAAAGTTACGTCAATAGTTTACTAGTGCTATTGAACTTTGAACTCAATCTCACTAAATCAAAACTGATTTTATTACGCCTGTTAGCCTACACAACATTCATAGATAAAGTAATACTTAATGACCAGAACTAAACTTATCATCTCGAATAATGCGCCAAAACACCAATAAAAAAGTTAAGTCCCAAGCCCGCCAAAGAAATTTAAAGTAAGTTCGAATCGTAAATTAAATACATCGCATACGTGGGCAGTTCAATCAGCCTACTAGCACCCAAAGAAATAAAATTAAAAGTAAAGCCGAGTACAAATGAGGCGAGTAAAATTATTTTTACGATTCTCTCTCTCAATTAGGAGGAGCACCGACAGTAAAGTGTCAGTGTTATTTAAATTTACTGCACCAATTAGACTCGCTATCATCACAGGAGTGATGAAACCATACCGTGTCGTGAGTAGCTTCCCTTATTAAGAGTTCTATAATTAAAATTTACAGCACCAAGCAGACGATTCAAATAACTAAGAGAATAGCTACAAATGATTCCATTAACTAGTTTAAACATGTCGGGTATGACGCTTACACTTTATATCGGGAGCCATGTTGAAAAATGCGAGTCAGTTTAGATTTAGTTATTTTGAAACTTTATGAGCGACTGAATTTGTAAACCGAAGTCTGCGTGATGAATAACACGAAGCGACGATCGTCGCGAGGATTTTAAAACAAGTTATTAATAAATCGGATTCTGAAAAGTCCAGCTATGTTATAAATAACGAATTATAGACAGAAATTTGTTCCAAAGTACGTTTTTATCTACATTATCAATGTAACCATATACATATATTTTAGAGAAAATTGAAATGCAGATCCAAGTCTAGCAGGCATTAGCCGCGCCAAGTCAAAACTTAAATTATTAAGACAGCTGAGTATGAGCAAGACAATATAAGTAAAACTGACGATAAAGAACATTCAACATCTGCAAAAAAACAAGCTGACGGTGCCAAGGAAGCAGTAACAATGTACCATAACGACGCCGAAGCGACATGATGTAGAAAAATAAACAATAACTCAAGCCAACAGATACCGCTGTATAAAAGGATTGCTCCAAAACACATATCTCATAAAGTTAGTTGGCGAGCAAAACATCCTGGCATCTACCAAGTAGTATATTTTGGCATCCAAGGCGAGAACAATCTGGATAATAGAATAAACTTGTTTCTTTGCTAACGTCATAGTTCGGGGCTGAGGCGACACTGTGGCGGATGGCGGTTGCTCTCCTGAATATAAATGGTATACCTTTGTCCTAGTCGATAATTAAAGGGCAAACGTAGCTGGTTTATTGGCTGTGGGTTGGTTTGTTAGCTTGAAGCTACTGAGTCGGTTTTCGTAGTTAACGGTATTCTATAAGTCACTATGGTCATTCTCACCGAGAGTTTTTGTGTAGGTATTTTGTGGACGCTTCTTAAGGCATGGACTCTAGTAGATTATACTTTATAGTCCTCCTATTTTTTTCAAGACATCTGCCTATTTTTTGTGCTTTATTTTTTTTCTGCTTCTCTGCTCTGCTTCATGTTTTTCACTATCTCTGGTTTTAGCTTCTGGCAAAATAGAAATAAACTTTTCATTATTACCATTTTTGGCAATTAACTTCCCTGTTACTGTTTGATGATCTACGTTTTCCTTATCTGTCATAACTAGGAGATTAAGTCATAAATATAAAGCCAAAACACATTTGCACTATTTCATTTCGTTACTAATGTAAATCAAATATATAATTAAATGCTCTTGATTTATTACCACATATTAACATAAAAAACATCCATAAAAGTGTTGCCTAATCGAAATCAATAACCCATTACTCAAGCAAATGCCACGATGATGAGTAAATATGTATTTGCGTAGGTATAGGTGTGTCTATGTGTGTCGTTTGTACAAATGAGAGAGATCATATAAACCAATATCGTAAATAGCTACCATTTATTCCTGTCTACGCTTAATCACAAATTGTTTTTGTTATTTTTTTTTTGGGTTATTTTCTTCTATCAAGGTTATTTTGTAATATACTTACCACCCAGCCTATTTCTTCATTAATATGATCGAGTATTTTTGTATTTGCTACCGTTGTGGTCTAGACATCAACATAGTATTTGTATAATAAACAAGGTATCCAACAATGCTTAGAAATTAATATCACTTTTGTTAACTAAATCATTTATAGCATATTATAATGGATGTTCTATATGCGTTTTAGTAAAACTAAAATCTTGCAACTGTGTATGGCACAGCCACTGGCAACTGACGGCTTGCTTTATGACGACTCCATATAATATCTTGAAGAAAATACTACTACAAAAGCTATATATTAAGTTGCTGGCAACTCTATTGTTGCAACTAACATCTGACAAATTTTATCACGTATATCATTGTTGCAACGTAAGCAACTTTGTGCTGCTTCTTCAAGACTCAGAATATAAAGTAAATTGAGACATTTTGTTTGTGCAACTGACTTATAAACGACTCGAACAAATAGTATGGAAGCTCTCCGTGCATTCGTTCATTTAGCCAAAATAAGCATAATTATCAACATAATATTTATTTTATTAGCAAGAAAGAATACATAATTTAGCTAACCGTCTAACTATCTAGTTTTTTAACGGTTCATAAGATAAAGACAGGGAGACAGACAGACGAATCCTTATAGGATGCAAATTTTTACCGTTTCAGTACGGACCCCTAAAAGACTAAAAAGTAGATAAAAGTTGCTACGTTTACGGTTAAAACGAATTCTTCGAGCTAGTATTTTTATAGAATGGTTTTAGTTTAATTAACTCTATACTTCAACCCATAATGTTACCTGTGGGAATAATAAAGTGCATTATTTTAAAAAATGACGGTGCATAAAGTTTTTTTATTGATATAGTAAAAGATAATTTGACTATCATTTTGATTTATTTTAGCTTAAAAATACATGTATTACACTGTTATAGTTATTTTTGTCTTAAGTGTTCCCATTTTGCCATTTATCCATTTTTGTTTTTCCATTTTTTGGCGTGGAAGACCCATGCTTTGGCACGAATGGGTCGGTTCGACTGGAGTGATATCACGACCTCACAGAGAAGCGGCGTGAAACAACCACAGCGTTGTATTTCGCCGTGTGAGTGAGGTTCCCGGAGGCCCAATGCTTCCCTCCCCCAATCCCAAAATTGTTTCATCTTTTGCCATATACAGCATTCCATTACTAAATCAAACATTTGACTAGTTGGTACAGATATCGGTTTCTTCCTCTATAAATCCTGTGATTGCGTTCCTACGTCAAACTACCAACATTTAGTGGTCAACAGTACGTTAGTGCAACCCACTGAACGTTCGTTATGGGGAAAGTTTGGAAAGCTCACAACTTGATGCTGTCATTGTTGAACTTGGATTTATGCCAACGTGCAAAGACGCATTGCGGGGTAATATTCAGGATTTTTCTATAATACTAAAGTTTGCTTTTTGGTTAGTATCCTGAACATGACATCTAATTGATTTATTTATTTAATGGAATAGTTGCCAAATCTGAGCTCTGGTTTTTCAAGGATTTAACATTACCTATAACCTCACAGAAAACCGGCGTGAAACAACTACA